TATAGCCTTTTATTTTTGTAGGCGTTGGTGGCAGTCGTCAAGCGGAACTCTCGTAATCTGCCTGATGAATCGTCTTGCAACTTTTGTGTCCATAGCCGTGTTAACGGATGCCTTATATCTGGGGCCCCATGGCGTCAGTTCTTCTTCGGGGCATTTAGGAATAAACGCAGCTGTCCAGATGTTGCTGCTTCTCAGACTGTTTCGAACAATCCCAATCCGCCTGACCTAGTGCGCCGGTGTCAAAAATTCACCCAATAAACCACCGTTTCCAAAAGTACTTCTTCTACCGAATTATAAGTCTTCGGATGACGATTTTCCAATTTCCTTTGTGCGCAAATGCTTACTACAAAAGGGAGGAGAGATTACTTGTGTTCTTGGTTTTCTCTTACACTACTGATTCTGGCGCACCCTGTGGCTGCTGGTCAGGAGGGTGTGGAGAACTGTGGTTACAGATATTTAGGGTGAATAATTCTTAAAAAGAAACAAGGATCCTATTCGCTTCACAGTCACGAAAAGGGGGCCGTTGGGTCAAAGGATAGTAGTGGCACACAGTTGGCATACCCCCTCCCCACAACCCTCATTAATTAGCAACCCTCGCTTATACCGTCGAGGCTTTGGGCAACAATTGCGTGACCGCCCGCATCATAGTTGTTGATTGTTACAATTTGTTCACTGTCGTGATAATTGTTTGGTAAGTTCGCTCGCTAATCCTGCCACTGGAAACCGTACTCGGCCCTGAAGATAGGGGGCAGAGGTCAAGGGGGTCGGACAAGTTGCAGCCCATTTAACTATCACGCCGCGTGAGAATTTTAGTCTCATCGAACTTTAAGGTGTGAACGAGAGAGAGAGACCCCGTCGAGGGAATCGTGATCTGACAGCTGGCGTGATTCTTCTCCAGCGTTGTCGCATGTGTGGTCATCCACTAGTAGGGAACGTAAGCTGGGTTTAGACTGTCCTGAGACAAGTTAGTTTTACCCTACTGATGGTTGAACTGTGTAAACAGTAAAGCACAATCTGGTCGATGCAATGGTAATCCCAGTTAGTAAGAAAGGAACCGCAGGTTCAGACTTTTGGTTCATGTGCCTGGTCGAGCGGCCAACTGGGGGATTAAGACTGAATCCCATCCAGAGATGCGCAACAATACGGTTTGGCTTGCCAATTGGTTGGGCAGATAAAGTTCTTTCTGGTCAGGTTTCGTTCGGATGGAGACAGCATGCCTCAGCTAACCTAGTCTGTCTGGTAATGTTATGCCAGAGCAGTGAAAATAACCACATGTACCGGGCCATGGTGTTTGGGGGTCGACACGATATGCAATTGTGGTATGAACGTGGCGGCACGTAATCGTTTGTAGGCGACCTAATGGTTTGTCGAGGAGACCTGAGTATCCGCAGTTGACATGCCCCCAAACAACCCTCATTAATCAGTAGCTTTCGTCTTTACCGTCGATAGTGGGGCTCTGGGCCTAAACCGGCGAGACAACGAGCTCGTGGATCAATGGTTAGGGTGTTTGACTGCGACCAAAAGGGTTGCGATTTCGAGGTTTGGGTGGGACACCACTTGAACGTGTGTACGACTGGCTGACGACGGCTAATGAACCGGAAACGGCCATCCTAGTCTCCCTTGTCTTTTCCGGCAATAATATCTGTCTACTTCCGGCTGTTACGGTCGCTATCGAGACCCAAGGCAGAGCGGGACAGATGAGTTCCGTTAGTGGTCAGGTGAACGGCAGTAATTAATTGCATGATCGCCCGCATCAGTCGTTGAGTCTCACAATTTGTGCACTGGTGTGATGATTGTTTGATAAGTTGGCTCGCTAATTCTGCCCCTGAAAACCGTATTCGGCCCTGAAGATAGAGGGTGGAGGTCCACGACCCGAACAGGTTGCAACTCACTTAATCATCACCCGCGTGAAAATGTCAGTTTGATCGAACATGAAGGCGTGACCGAGAGAGAGACCCCGGCGAAGGAACCGTGACCCGGGACCTTGTGTGATTCCTCTTAATCGTTGTCATCGCCATTCGTAGTAATATTTCCGTTTCTACAAAGTATCTGCACCAGACCCAGTACACGGATCTAACCGTCACAGTGGAGCTTTCGGCCTTATTAATTGCCACCTGGTAGTTGTCTCCGAACTGTGTTTGTAACTGTAGATAGTGTGAGCCAACGGCTGACGACTGGGTTCGAGTTAGAATCTGAAACTTAAGATGAGTAAAATTTTGCATTTACTGATGGCACCTTCATCACAATTTTCTGCTCAT